CTTCATAGTAATAAAATAAACATGAGACGTGTTGCGTCTTGTTTCCTTATAACTATTGAAGAACTACTTACCGTGATGCTGCTGCCTGTACGACTGTGAACGACCTGACGCTGCAGGCCCCAACGTATATTGCTAGTCGCGCGATAGTTAGCAACATTGTTGCAGACGCCCGCTCAGATTCGATCCGTCAGATTCCTAGACTGTTGTGTTAAAGTCGCCAGTACGTGATCTCAATAGATCGATATACTATTCTTCCCAAAAATTGTCCTTTTCTCAATTTCTTTTACTTTTAGATATTTACACGCGTCATGTGTGTGTGAAATATAATGTAAAATAATTGTAATCATCTTCAATGAAGAAACTTTATATTTGAGTGCAGAACTCATATTATTAAGGTTTTCTAATCGAAACCTTTTGATATCCTATTGCCATTCGTTTATACTTTAATTACTTAAATAGATCGTTTGTGTAATGTTGATATCGCTGATTGTAGTATAGGCCTAGTGGGGACCCGCTACGTTAAATAATGGGAACGCATCGACTGCAACACCTCTTGGGTGATGTGGAAGCCCGCAGGTTGTCGTTGTTTATGCCTTTATTGTAATAAGATAAATAAATTAATTGGATACACTCTTTAATCTGTTAATCCCATTTGCAGAAGCACATTTTTTTTTTGTAAAAAGAAAGTGCTCTCCATAGAGGGGTCTCGAACCATAGACCTCCCAATTCGTAACCGGGTGCACTAGCTATACGCCAAAAACACGTGTATATTTTACTTGTTTCAGAAGTCATATTTCTAGAATTTCATCGTTTATTCAACTGCTTACTATTATCGTTTCGCTTACTTTACATATGAGCAGAATAATATGAAGATGCAGTCCAGTTAAGAACTTTCGCGCCACCCTTCTCTACGTGGACGAACAAAAGAGAATAAAATAAACTTTGGGCAACCTAGAAACGTTAAAAGAGAGAAACCTTGACAGGTTATTGACTCAGCTACGATGCTCGTTTAATACTAAATTAAATTTATTATAGATATTTATCTATGATATTTCAAAATTTCTGTTTGAACTGTTCTTGGTCGTTTCATTTACCAACGAATTTCGTCATTCATTTTTTAATGTTCATTTTCGGCATGATAAGAGGTAAAGAGTGAAAACCAATATTTCTATGCATTTTTTATAACTTTGAAATTTATTTGAATATACACATTTGTTTGTGCATTACGTCCATACAAATGTTTAGGGTTCGGTTATACGGAAGACCTTGCTGTTCCACCTGTTTGTCAAGAACGGTTTGTGAGGGGCGGCTACATTTTCCCCACCACCGAGCAATCCATTCATTTCGCTGACTGCAATATCGGCTGGAACGATGATCATGACCCGCGCGGCTACGCGAAATCTGTAACATCGACAGAGGCGATGATCACGAAATCCTACTCCCGGACTCGCCGCTACGATTTAGCGCCATGCTTTTGGTATCGCCTAAAACCGGAGCGTTGTGCATCTCCCCACTCATCTCTGGAGAAACCTCCTCTTGAGGTAATTACCGGCGTGATTATTCCATGCGATTTACATCATATCCCACAGATGGCGTTCCCTCAAAAAACCTAAGTCACTAGCAGCCAACTTCAGTTCGGAGTCGTATACTGCAGTTTGCCCCTCAAATCAATCAAATTTGAGCTGCATATCGAAATTTTGTTTTGATTATGTAAAAAAACGGCTCACCACCAAATTTTTTAATTAAACCATCAAAATAATGGAAAAAAATAAAGTTCAATAAGTTAAAGTTACGTGGCCAGCTTTCCACAGGTAAAATGGAAAGTAAGAAGGAAATTACCCCGAAATGAAGAGGTGTCAGCTCGACTCCCTGGTATAGAAAATGTAGATTGTGATGGATCTTCCTACTTGTCGAGTTGTGTCAGAGTATAACAGCTTAAAACACTTCTAAAACATGGCTTAGGCCCTCAAACACTGAAGTATTCAAGCAGAGGGTTAATCGGTTTGCAATCTGCAAGCAAAATTTTACTTTAAAAAACCACCAAAATTATAGTTGGTTCAGTATTGAGAGTAGTGCATCATTACTTGATGCATAGTATAAATAACTGTTGCAATGCCATTATCATTGGGTAGAACAGACTTTTTAATGATTTAATATGAATGGTGACTTTCTAATTTATGATGACATTTAGAAGAGACAAATGTAGTTTTAACAAAGTGGGTAATGATTATTTAAAGGAGATATATCATTTTTAATGTTACAGTGTTTAAGGAAGTCTATCTACAAGCAGGGAATATTAAAATGAAGAAGGGATGGTGGATCTCTTTGTTGCTACTGCGCAAAGCATTCATTGTGCGCAAAAGACACTATATATTGACACTTGTTGAAATACTTTTTCCAGTATTAATATTTATCCTTATACTAAATATCAAAGGCTTGCAGAATCCTACAATAGAATATTTAGAAGAAGATGGTACTTACTTTCCCATAGTGTCAAAAAGGTCAATGATATCTATGTTGAACAGGGAATTGATCAATATTTATTATGTGCCTCGCAACAACTTTACAATTAATCTAATGGATTATACGAGAGATTGCTTAGCATTGCCCAATGACAGTAAGAAATATTTTAACACTGTATTTTATTTACTGTTTGTGCGTTCTAACAGTGATACGTTATTCAGAAATAATTGGATTTACAACGGAGGAAAATATGATAGAAACATATATACAGAAGCAGTTTAATAACAGCTACAGTGAGGTCCTGGCTATAGTTTTTGATGTGAATAATACCAGATCTGTACCAATGAATCTCAAGTACATCCTGAGATCTTCAAAAGCCTTGCCATCTGACCTTTTCCATGGTATTCTTAATGCATTGACAGACTCACACGAGTTTGTTAAAACATTACCAGTCACTGCAGTTCAAATGTGTTTGGATGAATCTTTTATCAATATATCTGCACCACAACCTACATTTCAAACTGAGGTATTATCAGCTATGATCACCTGTGTAATAAAAATAAAAGTTCATCTAATATTTTGCCATTCCACTTTAGCTTTCTATTCAACAAATGCCTATTACACTTGAAGGTGTGGTTAACCAACAAAGTTCCGAATCAAACAATTTACTTGTTTATCCAACCGTTATAGTATTTCTGGCATCTTTTTTGATAGAGCCAACTTACGTTGCTGTGGAGAATTCTATTGGGATTGACGTTTGTATTAATTAAATAAATTCTACTAATACTGTACAGCAACAATCTTCTCATTGACTGATCTGAATTTTAGATGTTAATGGCTACTACTGGTGTGCGTTCCTATCAGAATCTATTAAGCTGGATCATCAGTGGGATGATGCTGGGTACCGTTTACATATCCCTAGTTGTGGTAGAATTAAAGTTACCCTTGTTTACCGATATGGCATATCTGCAATATGGAAACGGTTTTTTACTTTGGCTGGCATTATTTCTAAATCTTGCTCATTGGATAGCCAATGGCCTGCACATTGGGGCATACTTTTCGAAACGTAAGGTTAAATGATATACAATCTGTTCTATATTAACTTATCATTTCTTTGTTTCATATATAATCTTATACCATAGCACATTCCGCCAGTATCGGCTTATGCTTATGGCTGATTGCTACGCTGCTGATTTATAGAGAACTGGTATCAAAGAAATTGTATACTGTTATGTCGTGTCTCGGAATCCTCATGCCCTGCTCTATGTTAATATCTATATTCAAGGAAATCAACGCATACGAGTTTAAATGTACGAATAACTTAATTGAGGTTTGAGGATCAATCATTATTCATTTTTTATTTCTTTACATTGATAATTACTTTAATTTCAGTAATTGGAGTGCAGTGGAGTTATCTGTTTACACCAGGAAGTATACCTTCTGCCAAGACCACCAGTCTAGGTGTCACAATGATGTTTTCAATATTGGGAATCATTTTGCACGTCCTGTTGGCCATTTACGTTCACGCCATATTTCCAGGGAAATATGGTGTAGCGAGGCATCCGTTATTCTTTCTACAGGTGAATTTTTTGTATATGATTATGAATTAACTTATCAATTGATATAGTATAATAATTGAATGACCTTTCAGCGAACAAATAAGAACAGGATATGCAATCAGAACAACATAGAAGACGTCGACGATGCTGTAAAGAATGATAAACGATTTGAAACAATATCTAAAGGCGTAGTGAAACCTGGTATTCAAATCCGTAATCTCAAAATGACGTACAGTTCAAACTTGTTCCATAAATCTGTATGTCAATTTTAATTTCCGGAAGAAAAAATTAGATCTGCTCAGATCAAATCAGATCTGAATTGTTACTCATCCAATCAAATTTGTTTAGGTCAAATTTGATCTGACCAGATCTGTTTTGATCTGATTGTATATGAACAAAATTTAGATGAGGTCAAATATTGCAATATTGTGAGATTATATTAAATATATCTTATGATAAAAAATTATGTGACGAAATATATGTGATATGAGATCAGATCTCAGCAGATCCAGTCAAATACAAGGATATCTAGTTAAATCTGAGCGTATCTGCTTTAAAATCTCTGAAAATTTACAAGTCAAACGATCAGATCTAACTGGACATAATATAAGATCTAGGCAGATTTCATCAGATCTGATCGTGTCCGACGTGCAATTTTTTTAGATTTGACAGCAGATCGGCTTAAATTTAACGAGGTCTGACAAAATATGATAGACACAAAAGTCATATCTAATCAGATCAAATTACATTACATTAGATCCGAATACGTCTAATCTTTTTTTCCGAATTATTAATTATTAATAGAAATTATCATCGATATTATTTACTCACTTTATTGTTATGTTTTTAGACAGTTGAAGTCCTTAAAGGGCTATCAGTAGATTTTTATGAAGGATTAATAACGTCTTTACTCGGCCATAATGGTGCTGGCAAAACAACCCTCATGTCCATAATAACTGGTAAATTATTTATTAATTTATTTATTTGCAACATTTAAAGGATTCTTTGTTTGTTTCAAGGTTTGACTAACCCTAACGATGGTTCAGTTTTCATAAATGGGAAAAATGTAAGTCATGATTTGGATTCCATCCAAAAAGACTTGGGTGTCTGTTCACAAGATAATATTTTGTTCCCGGATCTCACTGTTTATGAACACATTGAATTTTTCGCAAAGGTAACTGGAACTGTCGCTTATATCATTCGTATTGTTGCCTAACACGGTGATTATGAAATTTCAGTTGAAAGGTGATACGAAAACGAATAAACAAATAAAAAAGGAAGTCGATTCTTTACTATCTAATCTTGGAATAACAGCTAGGAGGAACTTTGTACCGAAGAAATTGTCTGGTGCACAAAAGAGAAGACTGTGCTTGGGAATTGCACTTGCTGGCGATGCTAGTGTTAGAAATTATTATATTACTTAATTAAACTTGCCTGTCATTTATTAGTCAGTTAATACAATTTATACATTAGGTCTTAATTTTGGATGAACCTACTTCCGGTATGGATCCAGAGGGTAGACGCTACACTTGGGATTTATTACTGGTAAATTTTCACATAGGTGTATGTTATGAAATTGAATGTAATTTAAAAATTTTATATTTTTTTCAACTTTAGAAATTACGTGGAAAGAAAACTATAATAATTACTACACACAGTATCGATGAAGCTGATATACTGGGAGATAGGATTGCAATAATGCATACTGGACGTATGATAAGTTATGGGACTTCGATGTTCCTTAAAAAATTATATGGTAACTGTTGCCTGAATTAACTATAAAAGTAGACTTATAGATGGATGACTTATAATATTATTTTTAACTATTAGGTCATGGCCGCCTTGAGGTTACTTTATCCACGGAATCCTGGTCGGATTCTAAACGAATCCAGGATGCTATTGGTTTGAATGCACAAGTGCGTAGCTTAGGTAATGGCAGAATTGCACTGAGTATTCCTCCTACCGAAGAACTTCCACGTAGGTTGGATAATTTGGAACAACAGAAGAAGCAGCTGGGTGTCACTGGCATAAGCCTATCCATTATTACATTGGAACAAGTGTTTTTGATGTACGTACTGGTTAAGTCTTTTGGAATGATTGTAGTAAAGTAATTAAAAAATTAATTAGATCAATTATTAAAATATTTAATAAAGGATTACCGAAGAGGAGGAAGAAAAGAAAGAGGAACTGCAGCTTCAGGATTCTATTGATTCCAAAGACGCCATAACTATACAGCCTGAGAAGCTAACTGGTTGGAAATTTAGCTTACAAATAATTTTTACATTGATTGAAAAGAAAATTACTTTTTCTGTTAAAAATCAGTGGATTTACTGCTTTATTGTACGTACCTTTATTATAGATATTGATGATCGATGAATATTCATAATTAATTTGATTAATAATAACTATTGATCCATAGGTTTTCATTTCTGTTGTTGGCATAGGAGCAACGGTCATCTATGATAAGAAAACTAAAGAGGTACTGACATTGCAGTCCGTAAAATTAGACGTATACGGTAATTCCCAAACGTGGTATTCGAGCGACAGTGAAATACTAGATAAGAAGTACAGGAATATCGTGGAAAGTTATAACAGCATCGCAAAGAAGGTGAAAAATACAACAAACATCAACGAAGGTAATGAAAAACAGGAAGTCAAATAATGTTAGCACAGTTTATTTAAGTTACAAAGACAAATATTCTCTTTGTTTTACTTTTTAGTCTTATACAGTTTTGCCAAGACAGACTTTCCTGTGTATCGAAACAGTTTTATTGTGGCAGCTGAATTTAATGTTACGCAGGGTGTCGTCAATGCAAATGGACTGTTCTCAGGCATGGCGACCAGGAGTATTCCCATAACTGTTAATCTCCTATCGAACACACTGATAAAAAGCTTGGCAGGAGATGATTACAGCATTGATATCTCTGTTCTGGCATTTCCAGACATTCTTTCTAATTACAAATTAGATCTTTTCGAGATTACTGTCCTTGCCGGTCTTAAGACTTCAATTCTCATTCATTTTCTATTCCTGGCGGTATGTCTGTTTGTGAAACATCCACTTCAGGAAAACGCAATAGGCGTAAAACACTTGCAGCGCATGACCGGAATATCTGGATTCTCTTATTGGGCTGTCATCTATGTAATTGATTTACTTCTGGTGTTATGTACAATTTTTCTCATGATCGTTTTTGTGTGTTTGATCGATTTCCAAGTGGACATACGACTATACAGGATTAATGAAATTAGTAAGTAATTTTTTTAAATTTTGACATCGTTACGTCAATAACTTTTTCTAACATTTAATATCTATTTCAGGTATTATAATTGTCCTTCTTTTACTGTTCTTCATGAGTTCCCTACCAATAGTTTATAGTCTTAGTTTTCTACGTAAATCATCGAAAATAGTAATACTGACATTATTCTTAGTGCCTGTGACGGTAGGTAAGTAAATGGTTCCTTATTTTTGTAGGAAGCCATACAGATCATTAATTCAGTATTTCTTCATGATTTCTCTTGTTTCTTCCAGTTTCCACAGATATTTTTCTCTATCTAATAGCCGAATTCCAAGAGGATGATGCAACATTTAAGAAAATATACTGGGTCCTGCATAAGATATTTCTGGTAATACCCCATGTGAGTTTTTCATACGGCTACTTCGATTTCATGAAAACAGCAGCACTTAACGCTCGATGCCGATCATTGCCCAAAGCTATATACGAGGTCATATGTATGAAAAATGATATGTGTTGCAGTAAGTAATTACTCCTTGGAATGCACATTTGCAGTAAACATAATCGTTACGTAATAAAACACTTGATTATAATAAACAATATTTATATACAGAACTGGAGTGTGCTGACGGCTCCTGCAAAAAGTCATTTCCATACTTCAATAACTTCGACACAAAGAACAGTTTAGAAGAAAACATGATATACTTAGCTGTTGCGCCGTTGCTCTACTTTTTGGTGCTAGGTCTACTGGAGCAGAATATATTTATTAAACTATTTACACGTTTACGGCATGTCGCTACGCGTTCCAAAGAAGATCAGGACGAGGTCGACGGCGACGTCAAAGTCGAAGAGGACCTAATAGCTCGAGCTATAAACATTCGCAGCAGTCAAGGTAAGGAATTAAGTTCTAGAATTGATGAAGTAGTGATTTGAGAAATAAAGAATTTTTTCTTTTCCATTTCACCAGGGAAAGACGATCAAGCATTACGCCTATCCAATATGAGTCCAAATTGCGAAAATCCTGCGAATGGTGAACATGACGAGTCAACTCTATTCTTGGCTTATCGTCTTCGTAAAAATTACGGAAAGGTTAAGGCTGTGAAGAACGTGAGCTTCCGAGTGAAGAAACACGAGTGCTTCGGCTTCCTGGGTGTGAACGGTGCCGGAAAGAGTGCGACTTTCCGTATGTTGACGGGCGAGGAGTTACCATCTGGTGGGGTGATGTTGCTGGGTTCTTACAACATTCAATCGAATCGCAAAAAGGTACTTGATTCTAACCGGATATAAGCTTCATTCTTAGATTCAGCATCCTGGCTCTCTTTGTTATATCTAATGATAACGCAATGCCTTCATTCTCAGTACCTAGAACAGATGGGATATTGTCCGCAAAGTCACGACCTAATCCCATCTTTAAATGCATGGGAGCACCTGCGATTGTTTGCCGGTCTACGTGGGATACCCAGGTCTTGCATAAACCAGGAAGTCGCTAAGTGGATTAATCTAACGAGTAAGTAGCAACCATATTGTTTATTTCCGCACATTCAAAATGGTCATCCCTCGGTGAAGACGTCCCTGTCTTTCATACACTGATGTGTAATACCGCACTTAGATCTTAAAGCTTGTGCTAAACAACCAAGTAAGACCTACAGCGGTGGTAATAAGAGACGATTAAGTATCGCAATCGCTCTTATTGGCGGTCCACCTCTTGTCCTTCTGGATGAACCGACGACAGGCGTCGATCCAGCAGCTAGGAAATCATTATGGAAGGTCATAAGATCTTGTCAGGCCACAGGGCAGGCCATTATATTCACATCCCACAAGTAAGTCTTGATATATTGTAGACAAAGTTTTTGTAGCTTTTATGATATAAAAAATAATTGTAATTCAATAAATAATTGACATATGTATAATTGTTCAGCATGGAGGAATCCGAAGCGCTTTGCGACAGACTTGTCATCATGGTGGATGGCATACTCGTTTGCGTTGGTGCAAGTCAGCAATTGAAACAAACATTCGGCGCTGGTTTTGATATCTCAATTAAATTAAATCCACAGAGAGATGACACTATTGTCAAGAAGATTAAAGACGGTATCGAATGCGCATTGACTTGTACGCTGCGGGACGAAAATATTGTGAGTAGAGGATACAAGGAAATAATAATATATTATTTTGTCATTATGGTTCTAATTAATTCTCTTCCTTTAGGGCTACCTTGCTTATCATGTTGACAATCCCGAGACTACTTGGCAAACAATGTTTCAGGCACTTGATAATCTTAAGAAAAATTACGAAGTCATAGAGGATTTTATTATACTATCCTCGACCCTTGAACAATTATTTATGCAATTTGCAAGAACGAAAAACAATTTTGCACAGAATCAGTCTACAGTTCAAAATTCCTCAATGAATGTTATTGCCAACAGGGGCTATATGCCTTAAATATTTTGAATTAAGTGTCGTCAAAGTAAAAGTATTATTAAATAATAATATTGCCTTTTAAGCAAGATTCAAATGCGAATAGTATTAATGAAAAACCAAAAATCGAGAATAACGATAGTAACCATCTGAATATATTTTTTTCTATTAAGCATCGTTGCATTTATGGCATGTATATGCGCACTATATTTTCACGATTTATACTTGTGCTCTGTGGTGTTTACTATATTTATTATTACTGTATTTCTGTAACAATATTCTCCAAGAGAGAAATAAAAAAAAATTTGTACCATAATGTGGTGCAGTTGATATTTTTGCATTGATCTTACATTTTGTAAAATTTAATGCTTTTGTGTAATGAATAAATATTTAAAAGCATTTGCAAAAGTCTTGGGTTTATTTATTTAACGTAACGGTATATCAAACGGTGTAAAGGAAAAAAATGGTAAGCTCAAGGTAATCATTATGAACAACGATGTTTCCCGTATAAATAAAAAAGGTAGCATAAACGATATATTGTTATGTACATAGGTCTGCCGTTTAAGTAGATACAAATAATAAAAATAGGGATAACAGGGTTCCTGGGGTCTGGCTGAATGAAGTGTCAATGATTACGATGCTCGGTGCACTGGGTTCCTGTTTAATATCGATAACCACCATTTTGACTTGTCTGATAAGAGTTTGGTCCCTGATAAGCAGAACCACCACCTCCGGCGCCACCTCCGCGTCCACCTCCTGATCCACCTCCTGCATCGAAGGACGATTTCAACATTTGTCAGAAATATCGGAACACTAAGAGGTTCTTCATAATCACATGGACTTTACCCACCTTGACCATATCCTGATCCGGTACCAGAACCGCTACCGCCTCCACCGCCTGAAGTATCCTGATTCTCACCTCTAGCCTCCGCAGCTAGAGACAGTTCCACGCCACGCTGTATTTCCGGTGGGATTGGTGGTGGAGTTGGAATATGGGCACCCTCTGGATGAAAGCCTTCCTCGTCGGCAGTGTACTTTATCGTGTACTGAACGCCGTCGGGACCGGTGTAACTGTAGGATCCACTCACGGATTCGGATTCACCTAATTTATTTAAATATTCAAAGTAAAGTAAGTATAATTAATATTATTTTCATTAAAATCCAAGGAAGCATTCAAGTTCTTAATACTTGCCTTGAAGTTGACCAGTTTCCTGAGCTGTAATGCCATTTCCGGTTTCGTAGCTGAAACTGTAGCTGCCGTCTCCGGTGTTCTCATTCGAGAATGACACAATAGGTACTTCCTGTCCGTTGCCACCACCTCCTGCTCCACCTCTCGAACCACCATTACCACTACCACCACCAACACCTGGATACATACGTTTCATAAGGGTAATATTTTTCGATGACAATGTTTTTTCTGACTTACCTGGTCCGAATCCACCAGATCCACCTGGACCACGTCCACCTCCACCACCATTGCCACCACCGCCACCGCCACCACCACCACCACCTCCCCTATTAGGTGCCTGAATCAGTCCTGCTCCTCCAGCACTTCCTGCGCTACCCGGTGGTAGATAATTGTTCTCCAATCTCGCTGCATAGCAAATCCCAAGGACCGCTAACACGATCACTGTCAACTGTTGAAATGAATTTGCTCATAAGAAATAACTGACAAAGTGCTCGTACCGATTTATGAAAAAAAAAAAATTGGAACAAATACATTACTCAACACAAAATTATAAAAAAAAGAAAGATAAATTAATCTTAATAGGGAAAATAATCCATTTCTGTCCATTACTACCGTACCGTTCTCATCACCACAACCGTCAATATCCCACGAAGTTTCTAAAAAAAAATATGAACGAAAGACAAGTCCTATTCCTTTGCGCACACTCGAGACTCCTACGATCGCGTCCTGATCGTTATTGTGACTCGAACGAAGATGCCTCAACTTATATAGCAGATCGTAAGGGATCGTCTTCTTCCTCTCGCCCAGGACACCATCAGGAGTCGATCGATTCTTCGGTGACGCCAGACCAGAGTGCATATACGCCTATATGTACCAGGTATCATCGGTAGAGGGGTTAATATTGGTAGCACGTATCTCAGCATCCACGTGGTACGATATCTCAGTACCAGGATGACAGAGGTGGGTACTCGGCAAATTGACGGTGCTCAGAATTAGAAGGGAACTGTGGTATAATCTCGGTGCAACGTCTATAGAGAAGATGCGCGTCGACCGATTGCATCATTATAGGTGATACAGATCGTCGGTTATTTGCGGACATTTACGAAGGCTGAAGGTCAGGCCAATCGGGTCGGGCATGAAAGTGAATTCTATATACATATATGTATGTATATATTGCCTCTATATATTATTTACTTTATAAGTAGTATAGTTATTTTCCGTCGTTGAAGATGAGTGTGGAGAATATTGCCATTGCGAATTGCAGGGACGTTAAAAGGAGCCGCTCTCAATACCATCCTTATAATTGCTCCACCGACTCCATGGATATTACATGCCGTTCCATAACGCATCATCAACACCTCCAACCTGAGAGACCTCCACCTTACGCAATACTCTCTACTTGGATGGACGGGTGCAGGTTAATGCGTGAGACGCACTGTAGTACTTGCCGAGTAGAAACTATTCTGTAATATAGAAATACATACGTATATTATAAGAGGTTAGGGATTTTATTACGCTTACGTTTACTGTAGACATTTAAATGTGTTATGGAATTTCATATGCAATCTCATTATGGGAGAGCCTGGGGTGTAGTTGGCTGAATACCTCTTTAAAATCTTTCATGCGCATGCGCACGACTAAGGGAAAAATTCGGGGATTCCCAGGATCATTGTTTCTGTAAAAGTGTAAAATGCAAAAGTGTATGATTCTATTTGAATGGTTAGAGGTAATGAGGGTTCATTTACGTATTGATTATTGCGTAACATACAGTAAACGGCCAAACGATGTTAACATTTAAGTGAAGTTTCCCAGAAATACAATTGCAGATTCACAATCGACGAGCCGGAACGGACCGCATTGGTTGTGCCGGGTGCGGCCCGATTAAAAATCATCTAGGTTCGTGATCCGTCGTGACACCATTCATCTGACAATGGGATCCTATGAGGCTTTCTAAATATACTGGGAGGAACATTCCCGGCTCTTTCTTTATTCTTATTTTTATTCGTTTACTTTGAGAAAATACAGCCCTTTTCTGGTGCTATCCGGGTGCATATCTCAGTATTGCTCGTGTTATGCCAGAGGTTAGGTCGACATGGCGCTCTCCTTCGGGGAGCGCTCTCAGGAATTCAAATGCTCGTCGTGGCAAGAAGGTCGTGGAAAAAACAAATTTGTAAAATGGAGCTGCTCGGTATTTCTCATAGAAAATCCAAAACGTGTCAACAATTTCTAATTTAAGATTTTTGATTCATACCAATATACATGCTTCACAGTAATGTTGGGGGTTCATTAAAATTTGTTTCAAAAGGATTCATTTAATTTTTCTATTTTTTTTATTCAAGCCAAAATCCTTCAGTCGTCATCTAGAAACGCATCACGCAATATCCTGTCTTTTGAAGCGACTGTGAGACGGTGAACTTTCACTGAGACTCCCGTGCGCCGTCTTTGATCATTTAAAACCCCTGGGCATTTTAGTTTCTTGTACCAGAACATCATTGTTGAGAGACGACACGCGCGAGAAATGAAAGTTCGAAAATGACTGTGATGATTTTTCGATATTTCTATAGGCTCTAATTCTATGTAAATGCAGAACACTGCTGGTAGTCTTTCGTTAAGCAGAGACCAGATATTACATATCTCTTAAACATAATAATATATGTAATATATTTTTCCATATAAAGTAACTATACAATATTCAATCACTTCCATCAGAGTCATCCCTTTCGTTCTGTTTATCTTGTCCAGTAGATGTACTGCACAATCAGAAACGTGACACGGAACCATTAACAGTTGCATTATCAATGAAACTATGTGTTCCTCCAGCATCCGCATACTCTTTCGAAATGCTATAATGACAGTATAAAAAATGAAATATTATAAAGTAACAGATCAGCTAGATAGTTCAGATAGGATTGGAATTCTTTTCGCACAATGGCGCAACGTTCAATCTCTTGGATTGACAAAGATGTTTCATATATTGATATTGACCTCTTAAAATAATTCCGTCCTCGATAAGGCTATATCAAAATTCATTCTATCCAGAATTAAACTTAAAAAAATATATATACATAATTACAAAATACAGACATAGGTGCTGCCCAGATCGTTAATCCATCCAATTGGATATTAAGATTGGCCGGGAATGGCGTATAGAAAATATATGGTGCAGCAATGGCGCGCAAGAGGCAATAAGAAATATATATAACTATATTTCATAATATATGTGCGCATCCTAGAGCGAGAACGTCTTCTACGAGATGACCTTTTACCGCGGTTGGAATCGTTGTCAGTCTCTGATGGTAACGTACTTTAGTGCCACCACGTATGTAGCTACTTCTATTACATACGCTTCACTGATGTATATACGTCGTATATAATAAGAATGTCGATGAAGATGCCCAAGGAGATGAGTTCCATCCATGATCCAATTTCTCTGCCTGACGACTACCAGCGGCATACCTGGAAGAATTTATACATATACACACACACACACATATATACAGCTTTCATTAATTATTATGACTCCTTGTTGGCAAACGATTCATAATATTTAGGCATGGTGCTGATGAATAACAAAGATATCTGTATTACTGCATGATTAGGAACAGCTGATTAGACCTACATTGGATAATAAATATCATGCTGGAGCATCGTTATCAAAGACATATCTTGTCTGTAAAATCAGCTTATTATTTGGTAGAAATTTAGGATTGTTTTTTTAATAATTAACTGAAATATGTATAAGCGATTTTTGTATATTTAAATTAGTATATTACGACCCTAAGCCAGAAAGTTGGATTTCCTGGCGTATGTGATACAAAGGCCGAGGCGAAGCTGAGGCTTTTATATCACATACGCCAGGTTATTTAACTTTTTGGCCATGTGTCGTATACTATTTTTCTTGCTCCCTAAGCCGAAAGTACCGTCTTCCTGGCCGCATTTGAGTCCGGGAAAAGCCACTTTTGTGGCCTGCTTGCCTACATATAAACAAATGCAAACAAGTGAATGTTCAATCATAAACTTTAAGCGTCTATGTTTTTACTCAACTCTTCATAACCGTAACTTAGTAATGTCAGTTGAATAATGAAAAACGGGAAGACGGTACTTTCGGCTTAGGGAGCAAGAAAAATAGTATACGACACATGGCCAAAAAGTTAAATAACCTGGCGTATGTGATATAAAAGCCTCAGCTTCGCCTCGGCCTTTGTATCACATACGCCAGGAAATCCAACTTTCTGGCTTAGGGTCGTAATATACTAATTTAAATATACAAAAATCGCTTATACATATTTCAGTTAATTATTAAAAAAACAATCCTAAATTTCTACCAAATAATAAGCTGATTTTACAGACAAGATATTTTAAATTTATCATAGAACAAATACCTACGTTACTCGATGAAAAGCAAATAGTTTTATAGAGGGATGCTGCGTCTAAAGGATTGAAATCATTCAGTGGCGGTGATATTCAAAAAGAAATTAACTAGACTCACCAGTCTCGACAACGTCCCACAGTCAAAAGTCCCTAGATACAGACACAAGGTATAAAAACAGACAAATTTGATAATATTTCTTCGATAATTCTATGGGTAAATTCAAACTACCTACGCACTCTGTCAAGAAATTCTAAATTGGGAGTATCAGAATGATATGAAGAAATAATTTTGAAAAGGTGTAAAAGTCATTCAAACATTGAACGTCGAGTAAGTAAGAAAAGCAAAGTGAGGCTGTGATGGCGCTGCAGTAGCAGATCCGCGCGGAGACCGTTACGGCATGCTTTTGTTGACAACAAAGGATTTTAAGCCGGCGACATTTCAGCACATCGAGAAGAAGGCGTACGGCGTCCGACCAGTTGTTTAGAACAGATTGAAGGACTAGGATGTCGTCAGGAAGTAACAAAGGAAATCTGAAGAGCGCCATAACATTCCGTGCAGTTCTGTCCAACTGTTTTCAACACATAGCGAAATCCGTAAGGTGAGTCAGTTCTGTATAGTAAAGGAAAAAAAAATATTAAAGATCTCCCATAACATTTCTCTATGAAAGATCATTTCGTCTCCATGCCTACAGCAGCATCCTTGCGTATGGTGTATCCTGAAGAAGGTTAAACTGCGTGGAATTGTTCGCATGTAGTCATCTCATTCTACTCCAGCATCTTTCTTGATCTTATTGTCCTCGTGAATCATTACGTTACTTATCAATGTCTACGTCCAATCGAATCGTCGAATGAACCAGGCTTGACGTTGTATATCTTCGCTACGTACAAGCAACGGGATGGAACGGGATAGAATGATGATGGTGTCATTCGATGTCATTGGCCTCCGCGGCTTGCATACTGATGTATCAACCCGTTCGCGGCTCTCGCTCACGTGGCCGAATAACTGTCCGTTATTACCCAACTGTACGGGGGACGTCTCTTTGAAATATTGGGAACCACGTTTACTTAGAATCATTTCTCGTGATGCAACGGACGCGTAGCTCTTGCTTGGTACAAATTGTGATTCTAGTACATGTTGTGGTAAATCATTTCTTTTAATTAACGTCTCTCGTTTATGCTTATTGCGAAACATTGCGAAGAGTAATGGTTGATTTTGATTTTTATTGTTTGATAAATGTCAAGGCATTTAAAAATTGGGGTAAAAGGTGATTGGTGATTTATAATTTTCTAAGTGATATGATTAGTAATAGCTTTGTTTTTAATTAAAAATTTAACTTTGTTAATTATTTGTATTTGGTATATGTAGGTGAATGGAATACGTACATTTTATATTGTATGGGTTATACATTTTATTTGCTTGTTTGTAATTGTTATCATCGTGCTGATAGTTAATGGAAGTTGGAATTCTTAGTATGTCGAGTATGCGTCATAGTAAGCTGACAATGTCGCGTGTTGATTCTCAGTGAAACGTAACGGATACGCAGGCTCCGGATGCTTTGATGGTGATTGAAGAAGGAGAGAGAAACCAAAAATGGCAAGAGAAATTAAGATGGGATTAAGAAAGATTTTTATGCGTTCGGTCAGGTCTGGACTAATGCAACTTTGTTATTACATCAAATTGCACCAGTCCCGGCCTGATTGCGCGTGTTTTCTACTTCAAAACAGTTATTTGAAGTTCGACGGAATTTTGTTTCATCCACTCAGGAACTGGTCTGCCGTGAGCATAAAACTGGCTGGCCGGTTTTCTGCTTGGTTTCATAATTGCCAATAAATGTGAGAACGTTCGAACTACGGACCCCGTTGCTTTACTCAGGACCCATGTTCGGGGCCTGTTCTTTGTTTGCATTTTGGGACAAAGAAAAATCCGATCCTTCCTATAGTATTATGACATATGCGTATATATGAACATATAGAGGTCAAATCGAAGAGGAATATATTTATAAGTCTTTTTTTGTTACTACGCCTATTTATTCATATCTGAGTGATTTGATAGCAATCGATTATTATACTTTTAAGTTGATATTGTAATTGGTAGAATTTCACGTTTATATATGTGAATTTTAATGAATGAGAGCATGATAGATAATAATATTAGTTCTGGTAATTAATTGAATTTTATAAGAGATCAGGTAGAAGTTACTGTGTGGTTGTGTAATTCAAGGAACACGCTATGATTAACTGTTAAATAACACTTTGCTTTTGAGCTAAACGACGACGACGGATATTGCAATTAGAGTTATATTGATGATTGATAGAAAAAAAGTTATACGCAGTTTATTAACGATACGTTATTCCATCGTTCATAATAGGAATTAATAATTACAAAACTTACTCTTTAATTAAAATATTCTTAGATGGCTTCATAATCCTAACCACGCAGTACTCCTTATTCATATATATACATCGACTATTTGGTCATCATGTCTGAAACCGAGCATTTAGCGTGCATTCAATCAAGCCTCCTTTATGCTCCCTTAAGAGAGCTTGTAACGTGTTGCTTGACCGTTCAGCTGGACAAAGAGTGTGACATTGAATAACTGGTAGACCTTAGCACTAGTTAAAATAAATTGATTAAGAATAATTTTAAAACTTAATTGCAGCGAAACCTATCCTGGATTTAAGAATATTAGGTTTTTAGAATGGAAGTTGCTTTCTTTTTGTATAGTGTCTGTATATTGAATTAGGTAAATTAATGCAATTTTGTTTCTTGTACAGGAAGTATGGGGAGTGTGCTAGCTATTACTCTTTGATATAATAGTCATTTTCCACTTCCCAAGTCAGATAGACATTTCTGCCGGTTACAATTTCAAAACATTCAACCTGTGCACTTTGTCTTCTCTTTAGCAGAGTAGTGTATCGCATCATACTTCTCTGTTTGGTTATTCCATCAGCTAACAGCTTATCTCTCAGCAGCTTCTACGAAGTCTGATGACTATACTGTACCCTACTGGTGCTCCAATTACTCTCTAAGGAAGTTAATACATTGGTATTGGTTGACAAGGCTGCTCATTGTTCTTTTACTGTTTCAGCGAGGACACTTTTATTGAGAATTTTAGTATTTTCAAAGAGAAAGCATTCATAGCCCGGAAACTACATAAGGCTCTTATAACTGATCTCCACAAAAGTATGGATGCTGTTCTCGAAGAAATGCTAGAGGATGGCAGCTTAGTCGAGGCACTGGCTATGGCTTCAAGACTTTCCGAAAAAGCTATTATACCTGCAGGTGAAAGTGCATGGTGAGTGAAACTCTTATTAATTGATGCAGCATATACTATACTTAGTTATCAACGATTTTTAATCTACTCCAACAGGAGGCCGCCAGGAAACATAGAACAACACTTGCGGTCCCTGGACGCTGAGATAATCCAAGAGCAGAATCAAAAATTGGAAGAGTTGGTGAACAAATTGGAGGCTGAGAATGAAGTTCTAATACATCAAATCACTGAATCAAGGAATAAAGTCCTTATTATTGACAAGCGGATGAATAACATACTGACTGCAGCACCTGACGATATTCGACGCATGCAGAAGGCAATAGACCAAATGGAGGACTATATTAACAAATTGAAAAACGAATGATTCCTATCAAGACGGGTGATTTTCTGAAACAAAATCGTCCGTGGCGTCATATCCTGTGCTGAGTATCATCGAAGGCTGTGTTCTCTTTTTTTTACTGGTTTAATCAAACACGCGTGTTCCTTTCTGGGTTTGTGCTTTGTAAGGGTAGGTACTCTGGTTAAGTACTAGAAAAGTTTATATTTTTGACAAAGTTAAGTACTGGATGATAAAATGGCCTTTTTTAATTTATCTATCGAAGGGGGCAAATGCCAGAAAATATGATGATCCTACAAACCAGTACTCCATTGAGTACATTGAAATTATCGTTAAGAAGTTACTGATTTCCTGAGGAAAGATTAGAAATTAAACATTAGTATCTACCTTCTGAAGCTGCTCCAGTTTAGTAGCAGCATCTTTGCGCTGTACTTCCAAATTCTTGAGCTGGCTGCGCAGATTCTTCAGCAATAATTTATTCTCCTTGTACAACAGACAAATTAGTTTAGATAATTTTTTGTGACAATTAATAAAATGACTGCTAGAAGATTTACTTTGCTTTGCTGGAATATCTGCTCATTGACCTCAGTTAATCTTGACGAATCCTCGCGTATTGTTTTCCTTAGGGATGCAAGCTTCTCGTTAAGTTTATCCCGTTTTCCTATTAATTCCGCCAGTTTTTCAAAAGCACAACCGTTTGGCATAATTTTATTACGATTTTTCTTGACTATATCAGATTTCAAGGAATCATAAGCTTGTCGACAGATTTCCATTTGTCCATCAAACATTTTGTGTCTCTTATGATTACTTTCCAATACCATCAAAGCCTTTTCTTGCATAATTGTTATGGAATTAATTTGATGTAATAAATCGCTGCACTTATCATGTATCTCTGATGATTTAGTCTTAAGCAGAATCAATTGCTCATCCGCATTGTTACTAACATACAAATCTTCTGTCTTATTGAAATCCGTCGAATTTATTTGCGTACTATGAGTGAGATCTAGAAATTAATTGCATCTTTACTTTTATTCCATAAAAATTAGTTACATCAATTACCTTTAATACGTTCTATTCGTACGTTCTCAGCAATTTCTTTTAAATGTTTAGCAATGTTTTTAACAGACTCAGTATCAATGCTCATTGTTAAAACTATTTTATCTAAGTCCTGCAAAGCACTACAAGAGGGCTGCGTTCAAATACTTTTATAACGTTGGCGGTTGGTAAAATTCGAAGTACGAATGCGTCCTCGTATTGGCTGAAAATAGCATCCAATAGCATTCATATTATGCATTAAAGTAATTCCCGCTTTAATGAACAACGTAATCTGATTCGTAGCCGTCAACCAATCAGAGCTCGAATACAGAGCGAGTATACTTGAAGCGTTATTCGTTAGATGGCAGTAGCGTTAGCTTAGCCATTGCGACGCACTCGGTGCTCGCCATTGTGCCGTGATTGCTGCTGAAGTTTCGTGTTTGTAGTGAATATTCGGCCGGTTTATCGAGTTCCTGGAGTTCGTAGATACACGTAAGTTAACAATTCAATCATAGTCATACCTCAAGGATTCAGCTTATCACACACAACTGTACTTATCCCTTAAAACAAGCATATCAGCACCACCGCCACAATTTTAGGGGTTAGTTTTCCTGGCGCGCCGAGTCAGCCCTCTTTCGTGCGCGTGGACAAGCCGCCTGACCGCATCCTCCCTAGAATTCCACACAACACGTAACCAGCGTCCACTCGAGCACCAATAGCAAGATCCATACCGACCATTAAAATCTAGATTAACTTTAATTCAGTCAAACCACCCATCAGCATTTTCGTACACCGTCGTATCTCCCAGGGCGTTGGCGTTTTTTCTCCAAGAAAACTCAAATCCACTCTAGCATTACGATGCTCCAAATATTCACGAGTCACTGGAACATGGCTACCGTTGTAGTTTCACACACATCTACTCCAAACAGACTCTCCAACCTAAAAAACAACGTTTCGTTCAACGCTCACGGTATCAAATCGATCTGTACCCTGTTCTCTTTCCACAGAAGTCAGGAGTCGTCAATATTTTGAACGGCATCAATATCGACAAGAGGTTCACCCTAATTTCAAATCATCAAAGTGTTTCTTATAAAAACGTTAAATCTTTCTAGACACGTATTTACACACATCCTGCTGGCCAACTTAAAAATTCTCTCAATTTCCTCTCTGCTTTGCACGTGGCTCTTTCTTCGATGCCTCAATCGTCGTCAGGAACCATTGATAGTAGCAGAAAGCTGCTACTAGTCTAGTAGTAATAACAAAGAGACACCTTTTCCCGTGAATTTCCTACGTGGGAGAATTCATTCCTGCTTTTCATTGTGTTCAACGTATTTCTCACGTACGTGAAAAATACGTCCGTAGTACGTACGTATACCTACAAATCTCATCACATCACATAACCTCTAGCATCCTCTAATCTTCGTTGAGCTCTTTATCTCCTCTTCCCTTCTTTTTCCTTTCTTTTTATTTCCTACATTCCACAATGGTTAAGCGTGTGACTTTATATTGCGCACATAACTCTGACTCTTTGGAATCCTCCAGCGATTGCTTATCGCTAAGAGAGTGAATTTCTTTGGAAGGATATATAGAATCGTGAGCGAGAGGAAGAGTGAGAGAAAACTTACGGGTGCGTGAGGAGAGTGGAAGAGAAGAAGGAAAAAGTATGGCATCTGAGAAATAGTTGATTTATCGGCGATCCTAACCTTGCTCGGAGTAACGCTTCCGCTCTCGTGGTCAGTGGTACAGAGTGTGGTTCTACGATACTAGTTTAATCGAATTTTTATATTTAATTTGTTCATTAACCGTTCTTTCTTTTATTATTACTTATTCGTCCAGTTGTCCCTGTCCGGCTTTCTTCCGTATATATTAATTGGATATCGTTTAAGGGAAGGTTCTTCCTTTCGATTTTGACAGGTTGCTATAAGAGAGAGGGCGTGTGGAAGGGTGAGTGGGGGACAGTCTGTGCTCTAATTATTTATAATGGAGATAAGCGGACTAGATTCGAACTAAATGGAGAGACAGCAAATGTAGAGCATAGACTATGCGGCTTTATTATTCCATATATGTTATACATGCCAGCCTATGTGTAACGTATATGTATATATTTGTGCTATCGTCTGGGATATGATTTCCGGAATTATCGTGTATCTGTACTTGGTCGTATCCGTACGTGGTCGCTTAAGAAAGAAAAACTTTGAACGAACTTGTCGCCAAGAATGAATACAGCCATGATTCTCTTTGTGGAAATCGACCGGATACGTTAGCTATGATATTTTTGGGAATCACCAGAGATATTTAATATAAATTTATTATATTATTAATACATTTATATACAATTCTGTTGATTCTCTCTTTTCCATTCTACGCTGTGACCTGAAGGAACCGACTGCTCGATGATCATTCCATTCCTGTCTCCCTTTATTTCGGTCATCCCGAAATTCCTGAAATACAAACCTACAGCTCAACCATATCTCTCTTTCTCTCTCTCTGTCTCTGACTTTCGAAATTCTCTGACGACACAACGATATTTATAAAACCGCTTGGTCTTGTCCTCAGCCGCATAAATGTAACAGGTAGTAAAAACCTCAGCACTTCCTCCTCATCCATGTGATCAACGAGAACTTGGACGCACGTCGCTATACTGCTTCCTCGTACTCGTTGATCCTAAATCATCCCCTGGAAAAAAAATCAGCCCTTTGGTAAAGAAACTCTATTTCATTCATTTATACTCGCTGGAGACTTGACCGATTCGCAAGGATGACCTACGGGTCTCTTATGGTGATAAAAGGGCTTGACCTCCATACACTAATAAACATATGAATGTTCATAGGTATAATGGTGAACGTTACTGCTGAACTATGCCGAATTTCTGGCGCGAAGTACAAGGCAAGAGATTTCCAGTAACAACAGACAGCCCTCACGCCATTAATCATAATTCGACAATCCAAGTCTGACACTCCTGAAGTGCGCTTACAGTTACAACGGAAAGAAAGTGATCCTGACGTTACGCTGCTGAATATCGCTCCAGTGGAAAGTCATGATTTTTTCTCAGTTTGCGCGACATTGCTGACGGGC